TTCCAGGCTGTCTTGGTGACCACAGGGGTGGCCATTCTTCAGCTGGCTGGTGCCTGAAGCCCAACCCACAAAATAGACTGTACTTTCCTCCTGGGGTGGGGGTGGATCCCCCCCAGATCCACCAATCAAGGTGGCAGGGAGTTCCCACACATCCAGGCAGAGGGAATGCCTCGTCTCCTGGCCCTGGACTGCCTCGTGGTTTTAAATCATCCACAGAAGCACCAGTAGCAGCCTGTGCACATCTGTCAGGATCGTGGAGCATGGAATGTCAGGCTTGAGCCATCTCAGTTCAACACTCGGCTGGAACACAAACAGAGGTGATGTTGTAGGAAACACTTGGCAAAAGTTGCACCTCCCTGAATTGTCAACCACCCGATAAAGACTGATACCCACTGAAGCCACCAAAGCCCAGAGCTGCACTGCAAAATGAGGTCTGAGACTCTGCAGAGCGGGCACCTCAGGCAGCTGACTTGGAATATGGGGAAAAAGAAGTTCCGCCTAGAGGCCCCAAGAATGGGAGGCATCTGAGCTCCAGGATGCCGGCTGCCTTAAAGTGTCACAGCTGCAGTGGGTGGGGAAAACCACGTGTCTGCAGTTCACAGAGATTTCTGGGAGTCACTGTTTTTGTCTGACGTATGGGATACTGGGTGGAGTCAGAGGCTGAGATCAGGGGCCCAGAAGAGGCACCCCCGGAATAGCCACTGAGGTTTTCTCTGGAAAGAATCTCAAAGAGGACCCAGAGGGTTCAACACCCACCCCCCTTCACCCACCCCTGGCATGGGAGTCATTTCTGCCCACTACAGTTCTTAGGGGCAGAGTTGGGAATGAGGGCTCAGTCTGGGCGTAAGTGGTTATGACTCCTTGACTCAAAGGCCACTTCATGGAGCCTCCCACCCGCTTGCCACAGCCACTTTGCCTCCTTCCCTGAACCCTTCCCCGCCTCCCTTTTTGCCTGGGTCTCCCGATATGCCTCTCTAGACCTCCATTCACACCTGCCCCTTCTCCCTGCCCCCTGGGTCTCCCACTCATGCAAATCCTGTCTCCTGAGGTCCCTAACTTTGCCCTGGCCTCGCCAGATATCCTTCTTGCTTTTTCCCCTCTGCTATCGGTCTCTCCCATTCATTCACTCTCCTTCTCTTGTGTCTACTCATGTCCCATTCTGTAAACCCCCAGCTCTGCTTCCGGTCCCTCTCGTTTTCTTTCCTCCTCCGGCCTCCACGACTGCCCAGACAGTCCTGAGATTGAGGCTGGTCCCGCGGCCTCACCTGATCCTCCCACCACCTCAGTTTGCGGGGTACGGTCTCTAATCTCCCACCGCCGGGAGCCCTCGCCCGGCAACCCGGGCGGGCCCGCCTGGCTCGGCCCAGCCTACGGCCCAGCGTCCCTTTGCCTTATCGCCCTCTCGGCCCCTCGGCCCCTCGGCCCCTCAGCCCCTCGCCCACTCCACCTGCAGCTGCGGCTCCGGAGGCCAAGGCTCTGCTCCAGGCGCGACCCCCACTTGCCTCCATCCCCTGCCCTGATTGGCCGCTGCTTGACAACCGACCCTCACAACAAAACCTCCGGCCTAGAGCCCCTCCCACCTCGCCTCCCGCACCAATCAGCCGCGGCGGACACTCCGCCTCCCTCTAGGATTGACCAATGCAAGCAGGTGCTTCTGCCGCTTTTCCCGAGTACCCGCCCTCTTTTCCTAAATCGGGCTAATCACGAGGACTGAGCATCCAAGGGACGCCCCTCGTCTTCTAATGAACCAACGAGGGCAGTTGTTTTCTTGGTCCCGCCTCCGCCTAAAGCTTTCCCTTTCTTCCCCTTTTCCGTCTCTTCCTCCAACCTAGTCAGCGTTTGAAAATGTTGCGAGACGCCCTCCAATGGCGGCTGAGCCAATCGCTTTAGCAACCGTCTTGGTCTGACCAATAGACGTCCACATTGTTGGAAAACTAATTCCCAAATAGCCAATGGGAAAGAGATATCGGGAGCAGCGTGAAGCCAGGAGCGTCCATTTTGGAGTGGGGCAAAGCGGACCGAGGTTTTAGTCAGCATTTTACCCCAGTTCCTTCTCCCCTTGGCCTGCGGGAAGACGCTGTGGCCTGAAGACGTTGCCCCTTTTCTCTGGCCCGGACACCGGCTTGAATCCTCCACAGAAAGCTTAGAGGGAAACATCCTGATTCCGGGTCTGAGTCGAACAGAAGAGCGTGCCCCTTTAAAGGGGATCACGAACTAGGAGCCCGCGAAAGGCCGACTTATTTGTGACTCCTTGGGCGAGTGGGATTCGGACCCACAGAAGCCTCTGGCCGGTGGCCAGGCCCTGTGGGCCGAAAGGATGGCCCAGCTTCTAGAGACCCTTGAACCTCACGTGAATCCTCCATTCTCCGCAGGTCGAGCGGGACTGCTCGGTCTCATCTAAGGCTCAGTGCCACCCTAAGGGGTAGGCATTCCCTTTCCCGTTTACGAATAAGGTGCCTGTGAAAGACCACACAGAAAAATGTAACATCCCAGGATTGGAACCCTGGTCTTAAAACCAAAGCCTCGGGAGAAAGGGGGCCCTGGGGACCCAGAGTGCATTTCTCCTCAACTTTTAATTCTGCAAAACTTCATAGAGAGAACTCGAAATAATAATGACCCTCTCCGCCTAGATTTCAGCACTTGTTAACAGCTTGCCTGATTTTTGTCTCTGTGTGTATTTTGGGGGGCAGACCATTTAAAAATATGGAGCATATAGCTCTTAAAAATAAGGCGTTTATTCTTCATCACTGCTATATCATCAACCCTAAGAAAATAATTCTCTAACATACAGTCTATTTTCAGATGTCCTCAGTCCTGCCCAGAAACCTTTAGTAACTTATTTTTCTAATTAGGAACCAATCAAGATTCAATACATTTGGCTATTTTAAGTTCATTCTATTTTTATCCCTCAACCTCTGTTTATTTTTATGACATTGATCTTTTGGAAAGATCAGGCTATTTACCTGTGAATCATCCCACGTGATGAATTTGTTTCTTTCCAGTGCCTTTTACCTTGTTCTCCTGAATTTCTTATTAAATGGAGACTAGATTGAGAAGCTTGATTAGATTGGTGGCAAGCATTTAAAAATACTTGTTATTGAAGTATAGTAACTGTACCCCAAAGAGCACATGCTGTAAGTGGACAAGGTCCATGAATTTTCACAAATTGAATATACCCTGGTCAAGGAGAACGTAGGGGGCCAGCAGGTGGTGTAGTAGTTAATACGGGTACTGGACTCCCACATGGCTGACCATGGTTCGAGTCCCGACCTGGTGGCTTGCTTTCTCACTTTCCTTCTCTCTCTCTAGTCAAATTGGAAGATAATAATAATAAAAGTTAAAATAATTTAAAAAAAAAGACGTTACCAGCAGCCAGAAGCCTCCCTGGTGCTCCCTTCTATCCTTAAAAAAAAAAAAGACATTACCAGCAGCCAGAAGTCTCCCTGGTGCTCCCTTCTATCCACTAACCCTTGCACCCCAAGAGTGACCACTATCCTGACTTCTAATACCATTGTTTAATATTTCACCTGGTTTTTTTTGTTTGTTTTTTTTTAATTTAAATGGAATCATACTAAGTGACCACTATCCTGACTTCTAATACCATTGGTTAATATTTCACCTGTTTTTTTTTTTTTTTCTTAAATTTAAATGGAATCATACTGTAAGTGCTTTTTGTATCTGGAACCAAAAGACTTTTAAACATTATACTTGAGAAATTCAACCCCATCATTCCATGTAGTCCTTGCTCATTTCTTTTCTTTTGAGAGTTTTTTGCTGTAGGGCATGTGTGCTCCCCAGAAAGACAGAGCAGAGAGACAGCGAGAAATCACTCACTCCCCATGGGGCATGACCATGCCACAATCCCTTCTCCATTCTCCTCTCGGGATCCTGGGCACACACATCGTTCCTGGCATTAGTTTAAGCTACCAGGTCCGGGACTTGAACCGTGGTCAACTACGTGGGAGTCCAGTGACATAGCCATTATGTCAACTGTTGGCCCCTATTTTCATTGTTCTACAACAAATTCAGTATTCCTGACATTGGGGATAGATGATTCTTAGTTGTGGGGGTTATTCAGTGCAGTTAGGGCACTTAGCAGCATTCCTGGCCTCCACACGCTAGGTGCCAGCAGCATTCTCCTAACCAATTATGGTAACCCAGATGGTCTTAAGACCACAATGGAGGTGTCCATTCTGCCCCGAGGGGTATTTAGTTTCCACTTGAGTACTATCAGTAGTGCTGCTGGAACATTCTAGGGTGTACCTATCGATGGCTAGCTAGCTGCCTGCTTTTACTGAGTTGTCCACCATTTCTGTTCACTAGCTGAACAGATGGATGGATGGAGAAGAACCAGGAATGGAATTGCTAGTCCATAGTTTAGTTTTAGAGAACGCAGGCAAACAGTTTCCTGACGTGGTCCTCTTGATTTCCACTTCCACAAGGAACGCTGTGTATGAGGGCTCCACGTCAGCACTCATCCACTGTGTCTGGGTGTGGGGTGGCATTTCATCTTCCTGGTGACTCGGGAAGTTAGCCACATTTGCACGTATTTGTTGGCCATCTGGGAAGCCAACATCTAGTGACTGTTTTCTATGTGTAGCTCTCAGTCCTCACTGTTTTACAAGTTTTACCTCATTTAATAAAACAATGCATCCCCATTTCCCAGGTGGGTGAATAGATCTGGCATGAAGATCTGAGATCTTCAATCCCTTGCAGTCTAATGTCAGCCTCCAAATTCTGGGGTGTGCTCCGTGGCCGTGCCATTCCCACCTCGTGAGCTGGCCACCCTAGCCAGATCAAGATCTAACCAGTTGTTTGCAGGTGGCTGAGGGACCATCTGCAGGGGTGCTGTGAAGACTGGGCATTCCAATGGAAAGACAGGAAGAAATGAGAAAGGTGGCCATGGTGAGGGTCCAGGGGTGGTCCCAGGCTATAGCTAAAGAAGGACAGGAGAAAATGGCTGATGTTGAGCTTGTCAACTACAAGATCAAACGGCAAGTTAAATGTGTGTTTATTTACAGGGAGATCATGAGAAGCAGGAACAGATAGAGCTGCGGGGAAGGGGTGCTGTGGCCATGAGGCCAGGTATCTGGGTGGATAGGCAGTAGCCGGATGTAGGGAACACAGGGGCTAGGCTGTGGGGACACGTCTCCTTTCTTGGCAGCTTTAGCCAAGGTCCCAGGAGAGGAGTCAAGCAAAGACTTTCAGGTACTCCATCAAGCGTGGGTCCTTGTGGAGCTTCTCCTCCAGAGCCAAGTACTTCAGTGGGGCCAATTCCTTGTGTCTGAAGTTGAAGGAGAAACAGGAGGGGGTGAGGGGTGACTAAACTGGGGGTCCAGCCTCCCAGTGGGTCCTCTCCAGCACCCCCAAGCGCTCACCGATTGAGCCGCTGCTCCAGGATGCGGATGCGGAACATGGCCTGGGAGCAGTAACTCAGGTACAGGTCTTCATCCTCGGCCGTCAGGGTCACCTGGTTCTCCTGGTACCACTGCTGCTTCTTCTGCAGCTCCTGGGTCTCCTGCAGGCATGGGAGGCGGAGGGGAGTGTGGACAGGGGCTGGCCCTCGTGCAGGCTGCAGGCTCCAGTCCTCCCGCTCGCCAGGCAGCCCCACAGGGCTGGTCCACTGCCCCCTCCCACCCACATAACCAGAGGGGCCGCAAAATGTCTTGGGTGGGAGTTGCTGGAGTCACGTTAGGAGGGATGTCAAGTCTATGAGGTCAGCACTGGGACCAACACTAGGACAGCCATGTGGCTCTGGACAAGTTGCCAAGATTTTCAGGGTCTCCAATTTCTTATCTGAAATGAGGGTCACTGTACTAATCCTGCCCCCAGAGCGCTTCATGTGATTCACTGATACAATGCATGCAGACTACCTGGGGTGTGCCTGACCCACAGAAATGGGCTGTTCTAATGCACCATCCACCTGTCCATCTGTGCACAATCCCTCCTTCTGACCACCCATGCATCTGCCTAATACACAGGCATGCGGAAGAACAGCTCAGACCTCCAGAAGGCCCGAGCCTTGTCTCACGCATCCCCTCGTCGGTCCCTCCCAAGTCCGTGAGCTGGAGGACAGGCGGTCCTGAGCCCATTTTGTGGATGAGGATGAGAATGCCAAGGCTCTCTGTCCACCCAGGGCCCTAGCCGCACCCTCTCGAAGCGGGCCTGGATGAGGTTGGCCTTGTCGATGAGACGCTGCTTGAAGTCACTGAGGCACTCGTCCTTGAGTCGCACCGCCTGCCAGCGCGTCAGCTTCTCCCCCGGCGGGAGCTGGGCCAGGAACGGCGCCAGGTAGTCCAGCTGGGTCTCCACCTGCCGCATGTGCTCCTCGTGCATCACGCGTTCCTGGGGGGAGCGGGAGGCAGTCAGCTGGATCAGGAGGGGCTTCAGGGACATCGTAACCAGCTCAGCGTCAGTGGCATGACAGCACAAAACCAGGCCTCCAACCCAGGTCCCAGAGCCCGGCGCCCCCAGGGACAGGCCTCAGAAGGGCGGTGTGCTGCTCTCTTGCACCGTGTTTGCTGGTAACAGCCAATGCTTGTTCTTACGTGAATTCATGTCTCCCTGCCTGAGCCTCAGTTTCCTCCTCTGAGGCCTTGGAGAGGATCCCATTCTACAATGCACACAGCCTGGGGGCCTGACAATCCATAGTAGATGCTTCTTCCATTAGTAGTTAATAAGGATGTTAAATTAAAAACTGCCAGTCACTCCTTTTATTTTTCATTTGCATCCTGGGACCTTATGTCTAGTATCCTCAGACAGGGGCCAGTGAAGTTGGAGATGTGGGGGCCCGCGCCTCCCCCTAGGGGTCTGAGAATAGCCATCCTATGCCCGCTCCTAACTCCTTAACCTCAGACTAATTTTTAGAAATCTCTACTTGGTTGGCAAAGAGGATTCGGAAGCTGGCCTTGAAAACCGAGCTGGGCCTGGCAACCTGAGGGTGTAACCTAAGCACCCCATGCTGCAGGGGTTCAGAGCTCGGGCCTGTGGCCAGAACCAGCTCTCTGTAGCTAGTGGCCGAAGTCACAATCACAAGGGGAGCCCAGGATGGAGGTGGGCTTGTGATTTTAGCTCTTTCTCCACACACTCCAGGCCTTCACGGGGCCACAGCCCCTGCAAGTGGCAGGGAGTGGGTGGGGGAGACCTGGCTCTTTGGGTTGAACCACAGAAAATGGTCAGTTCAGCAGCAAAGATGACCACACGATACCAACAGGGTTCGCCCATCAAGGGAACCCTATTGGGCCTCTCTGCCTAGAGGCCAGAAGGGTCCAGGAAAAGCCAGGGCCCCGGGCCAGGGCACACAGCTCACCATGGCCTCCCGATACTCCTTGCTCTTCTCATTGCGCTTGGTGTCGTAGATGGAGATGGTCAGTGTGTGGGACTCCTCCTCCTCCTCTCGGAGCTTCAGGATCTCCAGCACCTACAGGAAAACAGAGGGGACGGCTGAGATAGCACCCCCCAACCCCCCCTGCCAGCCACAGCCGTGCTGCAGTTGCAATGCTCCGTGATGCGAGGCCATCCCGGGAGCCCTGGGCCCACATGCCGAGGTCTCCTCAGGCACACTGGTGCGCACACGCAAGTGCCTGTGATCCTGGCTGGCTGGGGCTGGGGAAGGATCACAGCGTGAAGGCCTGTGACAGACCCTACCCATGCACCCCCTCCCACCTGACCTCTCCTCAATGGGCCTACCTCCAGCTCTGACTCCCAGGCCTGATGTCTGGACAACTTCTCCTCGTCCTTCAGGCGCATCATGGTCTCATACTGGTAGAGAAGCTTCTTGGTGTGCTCCATGGGCTCCACCTGGGACGATGACCACCACAGTGACACAGAGGGGCCGCATTGGTCAGGGTCATGGAACCATCTGGATTCCAATCTGCCCCTGCCACTTGCCAGCTGTGACCTCAAGCACGTGGCTTAACCTCTCTGGGCCTCATCTAAAACACACTTAGTAATAGAAGGGGAACTGCAAACTCAGAGGGGCGGGGGAATGTGCTGGAGAGTGAGGGTTGGACTAGGAAGGCGCGCCCCCTATTGGAGGGGGAAGCTTGTCCTCCTTGGCAGTTCCCTGGGATCTAGTGTTTGCTCTGGCCTGGGGTGGGACATGCAGACCTCGAAAGATAGTTCTCTGGCCTGCTGGGCTCCTTATTTTGGTGGATAAGGGAAGCTTTTCAGAGGCGCTGCAAAAAGAAGTATCCCCAGGTGGGAATTTTTAATTTTCCCTAGGGACAGAGACCAAGTTCCTGGAGGGTTCAGGAGTGTCGGTCTGGTTCTCCCCGTGGTGGAAACAGGGCAGAGGACCCCAGGCCCACCTCGAAGCTGATGCACATATCGGGAGCCATGACGATCTTGTTGCCCTTGCTGTCCACCTCCGTGCGCCGCAGGAACTCGCGCTTGGAGGCGGTGATGTGGTCCTCGCGACAGTGAAAGCGCAGCTGGATTCGCTCCTCCGCGATCAGGAACGTGCGCTCCGCCACGTCCTCATCCGCAGGCTTCTCCGGGTTGCGGAAGAACCGCTCGGTGATTTTCTGTGAGGCCAAACGTGCATGGCGTGAGAGGCGGGGAAGGGGATTTCTGTGCAGGACAGTTAGTAGGCACTCAAGTGGGGCATTCTGATGCTGGGGACCAGGGTCGTTTGGGGGCTCATGGGGAGCACGCCTCCTAGCCAGGATTCGTGGGCTCTCCAGGTCAGGCCACTGCAGCCCCAGCTGGTGCTGGGCCCCTTCTCTAGACTTGGGATACCTCCTTCAGAGATGGGGAGTTCCTGGCGGCCTACTCCATCACTAGACACCGCTTGCTCTTAGAAAGAGCGTCTGTGGTATGCAGCCAGTAGGCTCCTTTGCCAAAGAATTTGTGGTGACAAGGAGGGGAAAATGGCCAGTAAAATGGTAAGTGGGCGATATGGGGATTCTAATTCCCCTACTCTGTAGATCTGAAGTTAGAAAAGGCTCTCAAAACCAAAACTGTTCATCTGTGGCCATGTCTGACATATGTCATTCTGAGATATTTGCACTTTTCTCTGTATGTATTGTCCAAATATTTAGTCGTGTGTGTGTTTTAATTATTTCTACAGAGAGGGAGAGAGAAAAATAGATCCTGGTTTCTTATTTTTTTTTATTTTTATTTTGTTTTGTTTTGTTTTGTTTTTGCTATGGGGCATGTGTGCTCATCAGAGAGATACAGAGAGAGGGAAAGTGAGAAATCACTCTTTAGGGCCGATGGCCATGCTGCAATCCTTTCTCCTCCATTCCTATCAGATTTTTGGGCATGCACATGCACCTCGCATATTTTTCAAGCTGCTGGGTCCAGGACTTGAACTGCACAGTCGGCCATGTGGGATCCAGCTGCCTTAACTACCATAGCACTAGCTGGCCCTGGGTGTGTATTTTTGATATCAATAAGAAAACAATACCTTTTGGCCCAGTGGTCGAGGGCTTAGTCTAGCACCATTTGGTCCCAGCATCATGTGCTTGGAAAACTCTTGGGTCTCACCCTGGAAATGTCTTGGGCCTCAACGCCATGCCAGAGCCAGGGCTCAGCCCATCCCAGGATGACCTCTGTCTGCCAGAGGAGGACAGACAGCCTATCACAGGCTCAGTGAGCTCTTACCACAATGGGCCGGGGGTTTGACTCTGCGCTGTTCAGAGTGAGCTTCTTGACCCTGGGCCCAAAGTTGATGTGGCGGTAGGAGAGAAAGTCCTGGCGTCCTTGGTAGTACTCGGTCATCGTCTTGGGCGTCTCTTCCCGCTTTACCAGGCCATCCACACGGGCCGTTTCGTAGAACTCCATGACCCGGTCCATCTCAGGCTGTGTGGATTTATATGAGTGCACTGGGGTAGGGTGGGCAATGGGAGAGACAGCTGGGTGAGGACCCGGAGCTGTGGCAGCTCACACGATGGAGGAGCAGTAGATAGAAACTACCGTACGTAACTTCAACTGTGTGCTTACGTTGTGTCCAGCTTTCTGTTATTATACGTAACACCGGGAGGGACATCTGTATCGGGCATCTTTTGGTCTTGCCCATTACTTGCTAAGAACAAGTTTAGTGGGGCCAGCAGGTGGTGTGGTGGTTACAGTGTTGGACTCTCACATAGCCAACCGTGGTTCGAGTCCCGGATCTAGCAGCTTGTTTTCTCATTTTCCCCCCTCTCTCTGATGACTATAGCAAATTTAAAATAATAATAATAAATAAAATAAATTTATAAAAAATAATGAGTTCAGAAGGGACGTGGCTTGGCCAAAAAGGATACACATTGTAGGCTTTTATCAGTATCTTTTTCCCAATTGCCCTCCAGAAAACTAACGCAGTGACATCTGTCTGCTGCTTCCCACACTTGTTCACACCCAATAGGACCTTTCTTCCCCCTTCATTTTTGTCAACATGAAAGGTATAAAATGGTCCCTTATTATTATTATTTTTAAAATTTCAACTAACAAATGAGCTTGATCTATTTTAATTTTTTAATTTTTTTTTTGCAACTGTATATTGGCTTGTGCATTTCTTTTGTGAATTTTAGTTATAACTCTTTTTTATTTTAAATTTTGTCAGCGGGCACATGCGCTCTCCAGAGAGAGAGAGGGGGGAACGTGAGACAACATCCCCCCATGGGGGAGGGACACACCACAATGCCCTTTCCCCCACGTTTTCTCTCGAGATTTTGGTCACATGCACCCATGCCCTGCGAGTTTCTCCAGTCACCGGATCCAGGAATGCAACTGTGCAGATGGCCTGGATCTAACTCCCTTTAACCACCAGGGCACAGACTGGCCTTCCGTGAGAATTCTTGATTCTTTTGCAAGAAATGGGCTTACAGCCATCTCTACACTCTCTGCCCTCTGCTCTTTGCCCTCTACCTTCTGTCTCTGTGGGAATTTATTGGCTTTACTTCCCGGCATCCTCACCCCCTTTAAATGTGGCCCCACTGCATGCCTTCTTGGTGGAATTTGCCTGATCCCAACCACAGAATGGGCAGATGGCCCTGGCTCTGACTTCCCAGAGGAACGTCTGTCACCTTTCCTTGGATATTTGAGCATCCCTGTGACCATCCAGGTAGCCAGTTTGCTTAGGGAAGCGGACACGCCCTCTGTTGCCTGCCTCCCAAGAACCCTGTTGCTGCCATGGGAGGACCCACCTGCCATGGAGGCTGTTCAAGAAGTGTGTGAGGCCCCCTCCCCAGGCTGCCAGCAGGGCCAGCAGGGCGGGCCACGTACCACGCAGAGCCTGGGGGTGACCCGGCTTGAAGTAGTCGATATTCAGGCCCGTCCTCTTGTTTATGTGCTTCAGCTCCAGCATGTCCTCCCGGTTCTGGTACCACTTCTTGATCTCCAGGGTCTTGGTGCCTGTGTGGACCAGTGAGGGCTTGCTGCAGTCAGGCTGGCTCCCAGGCACGCAGAGGCGCGCGCAATGCCCACGCTCGTCCCGAGAGAGGAGAAGTGGCATGCCCAAGGTCACTCAGCATGTCGGGGACCCAGCTGTCCCACTCCCCATGGCCAGGCCGTCCCTGCCTCTGCTTGACCTGGCCGCCATAGCCAAAGCTACCGGCTTACACTCCAAGTCCTCGTAGGTGGTGAGGCGGCACACGAGGCCGTTACTGTTGAGGTATGGCGCCCACTTCTCCAGCTTGGCCCTCTTGTATTGGATCACCTTCTTCCCGTTCGGGCAGCGGGTCTCGAATGCTGTGGACACGGAGTGGACCAGGTCTCTCCTTCCCACTGTCTGCTAAACTCCTTAGGCCTGGAGCCTGATCCAAGTCACAGCTGGCTCCGGCTCCAGGGGAGCCCCCGGGCTGGGCAGGAACATGGATCCACCCAAGACTGGGGTTTGAGACTGACCAGAAGAGCTGTGTTCCGGCCAAACCACACTCCCACTGCCAGGTTTCTGCCCGTGCAGGGAAACACCATCCCCTACTGGGCTTGCTCAGTGACCTCCTGATCCTTCAGAACTGAGCTCCAGGCAGGCCCTGACTCCTGGCACCCCTTTCTGTCCACTCACTGCCAGTCCCTGCCCTGGGGGAACGGAGGGGGCGCTCCTGCCGTGGGTTCCTGTGACACTCTCTCCAGCACTTCCCATCCTGCTAGAATGGCCTCTGCCCGCCTTGGGGGTCTGGGTCTCCCAGACGGGCACCCTGGCAGTGGGCAGATATTGGCATAGGGCACGAGCAGCCCCACCCTCCTGCCTTCTCCTCTGTCCCTCCCTGGTCTGGACACCCCTACACCATCCGCCACACGGCAGCTGAGCCCTTCCAATGTGCCAGATGGTGTCAGGGCCTCGGGCCACAGAGCCGAGTGGCAGAACGGAGGGGAGCAAGGCAGGATTCATGGGACGGCGACAGGTGGACGTGAGCGGCCGGGTACCTCTGTCATGTCCCCCTGCCTTGCTGCTGCTGCAAACCTCCCCGCAGTCCAGGAACTGGTCCTGGAGAGGACGAGGACAGCCAAACTGTAAATACCTTCTGGGGAGATCTCGATCTGCTCCACCCACGAGTGTGGCATATCGAAGCTCTTATCCTCATCCTCCTTGCCCTGTTGGGAGAGAAGGGGTGGAGGGGTGGGTGCTGGTCAGGGCCTTGGAGCAGAAGTTATGGTCACCACCCAGAGCCAAGCTAAGTCCATCCGCTTCTCCAGGGAAGGGAGAGGTCATGAGTTGGCATGGTAGGGAAGAAGAGATGTCAGCTCTCAGCAGGGGGACGGGTCCCTGCACACACCTGGCTCCAGGTAACCGCACTCCCTGCCCTGCAAGCCCCACCTTCCTGCAGCCAGCCACCTGCCCTTCATCGGAGACGGGCTTCTGGACACAGCCAGACTTAAGCCCCCATTCTCAGCAACACCAGCCAAGGGGTCCTGGGCAAGTCCTTTAACCACTCCAAGCCTCAGTGTCCTTAACTGTGAACTGGACCTCTTGGGAGGATTAATGACGTAAGAGGCTAGTGACACCACCTGGCTGGCCTTGTGACTGTCTTTCTCTCTGCGCCTTCATTTTCCCATGTGAAAATAAGGCCTAGCCTTTACAGACAGTCCTCCAGCTAGGTGACTACAACACTCAGATCAGACTTCCTCAGCTTAAAGCTGTTCTCCGTAAACGTTGCTCCAACCTCCGACACCAGCTCATCTAATGGTGGGTTCTTGCAGGGGACAGGATGGGTGGGCAGTTGGCAGTGGGCAGCATCACAAATCTCCAGCACAGGTGGGTGGGCTGTGGTGGGAGGCTCTGGTTGCTCCTGGAAGCCCATGGCTGAGCTCTGACTCTTAGGGAGGTCATAGGTTAATCTTTGCGGCCTCACGGTGCCCTGTCCAGGAGTGGAGCGGGGTTCCACGGCTGGAACTGTTTAACAGCCCAGCCACCGGCCCAGGCGCTGAGGACACTGGAATCAACAGGGCTGAACTCCCGGGACTCTGGCTGGTCCACACCTCGGGCCAGCAGGTGGCGCCCATGCCCTGAGATTTACTTACAGCACGGGCAGTCTCCCACCCAGTCTGCAAGGAGGACCCTGAGGACCCGCAGTACCACTGGCGAGCAGGTCTGCAGTCTGTGCCAAGCGCTTTGCACCAGTAGTGTCACTTCATTCTCAGCAGCTCCAGGAGCTAGAACATTGCCATTTAAAGTCCAGACTTTGGAGCTGGACTAAGTCCCAGCTGTGTCACTTACTGGCTGTGTCATTTTAGGTAAGCCCCGTAAGCCCTCTGTGTGTAAGTCTCCCCATCTGTGAAATGGGATGATGATAATCATGGATAGTGATAGTACTAGTTCCACCTCACCGGTAGGTGGCTGTGGAGACTCAAACAAGTTCCTTCCGGTTAAGCACCCACAACACAGCTCAGTGCTTAGTAAAGAGGAGTGAGTGCCAACTGCTGCTGCGGCCCCATTGTGACCTCACCCCCATTCATAAGTCCTTTATTTTATTATTATTTTATTATTTTAAAGTTGCTATAGAGCATGTGTGCTCACCAGGGAAAAATAGATAATAAGAGAGAAGGAAAGTGAAAAAGCAAGCCACCTGGTCCAGGACTCGAACCGCAGTTGGCCACATGGGAGTACAATGCCTTAACTACCACGCCACCTGCCGGCCCCCTCCATTCAAAAGTCTTAACCCCAGTAGCTCAGAATGTGACTGTGTTTGGAGATAAGTTCTTCAAAGAGGTAAGTGAAAATGAAGTCTTAGGGTGGCCCTAATTCAATATGACTGGTGTTCTTGTCGGGAGAGGGGACACCCACTCGTACTGAGGGAAGATGACACAAGATGCCAGGAGAAGGCGGCCATCTGCCAGCCGAGAAGAGAGGCCTCAGGAGAAACCACCCTGCCTACACCCCGATCTTGACCCGGAAGCCTCCAGACATGAGAGAAAATAAATTCCTGCCTGTGGTACTTTGCTATGTAGATTAATTCCCTGCTATTATTGCTGTGGAGACAGCGATGACTCCCATGTGCAGACCAGGAAACGGAAGCTCTCAAGGATGAGGAAGATTGCTCAAGGCCGCACAGCCAGTCACTAAGGCCTCCGGGCTGCTGACCTCCACACACAGGGCCTTGTGCAGACCTGCCTCCATGGGAGGTCTCTGACTGTGAGGCCGGGGTGGGGAGGGGGGGCTGCTGACTTGGGAAGGCCCTGGCCCTGACCTTTAGAGGAGCTGACAGGACAGAAGGGAGCAGCCTGGGGGTTCGTGGGGAATCACAGTGGTTACTTGGGCTAGAACTGAGGAAGGGTCAGCCTCGGGACTCCTGGGTCTTGCAGAGAGGTCTTAGGACCCCACTCCAAGGAATGTTTGTTTGTTCTTTCTTTCTCTTTCTTTCTCTTTCTTTTTCTTTCTTTCTTTCTTTCTTTCTTTCTTTCTTTCTTTCTTTCTTTCTTTCTTTCTTTCTTTCTTTCTTTCTTTTAAGATTTTTTCCCCCTCTTAGGGTACGTGCACTCAGCTGAGAGAGAGAGAGAGAGACAGTGAGGAAAGGTGAGAAATCACCCGCCAGGGGCATGGTCAAGTAGAAGTCCCTTCTTCTCCATTCTCCTTGTGGGATCTTGGATATGCATGCACACATGCCCGGTGTGATTTTTGAAGCCACTGGGTCCAGGACTTGAACCGCAGTCAGCCGTGTCAGAGTCCAGTGACATAACTGCTATGCCATCTGCTGGTCCCAAGGGGTGTATTTTCCAGAGGAGCAAGGAAACCCCTGAATAGGGTGGCCCATGTGTGGAGCAGGAGACCTAAATTCAAGTCCCACTCCTCCTCTATCCCACGGGGGGTTTCTCGGCAACTCACTGGACCTGTCCAGCCTCGGTTTGCCCATCTGCAAAATGGTGCACTGTCTGGGCCCTTCCGCTTTGAAGAATCTGCCGTCAGTCTAGCCGAACCACTTCTCTACGCACACACACTGGCGGGGACACCTGTCAGGCAGCCTGACATGATGGTGGGTGCAGAGCGTCACCCCATCGCTCCCTGGCCCCACGTGCTGCTGAGACTCACCAGATTCTCCACGTCATCGTCGTCGTTCAGATCGATGTCGTCTTCCTCAGTCAAGGACAGGTGAGGTTTATCGGTGCCCAAGAGCATGTACTCCCACCTCACAGGGTCTCCCAGGTCAAAGACCAAGTCCTATTGGGCAGAGGAGAGGTTGGCGGGGTGCAAGCACAGTCCCCACACACCCCCCGCTCCAGGGGCAGGCAGGAGCAGCTGCTCTCAGAGCAGGGAAGAGACCTGGCCTTGGGTCTGCGTCTGTCCTAGGCAGCCTCTGAGAGCCCACCCGCCCTTCATCACAACAGGGAACCCCCCGCTCCAGGGGCAGGCAGGAGCAGCTGCTCTCAGAGCAGGGAAGAGACCTGGCCTTGGGTCTGCGTCTGTCCTAGGCAGCCTCTGAGAGCCTACCCCCCACTTCATCAAAACAGGGAAACTGAGGCCCCAGGGGGACTGCGCTCCCTTCCCATCCTCCAGTCTCCCTAGGAAGAAGTCCTGAGCTGGGTTCTGGGTTCTGTGATGCTGGGATGGGCTTGGGCGTGGAGGTCATTCTGCGGCATCTGGGGAGCAGCCAGGCAGTGCTCAGACCAGATGCTAACCAGAGGATTTTAGGGGGGAGCGGGCTGGCAGCTTCCAAGAAGTGGCAGCCTTAATAAAAAGGCCTCTTCATGTTCCTTCAGAGTAAGGCCTCACTCTGTCACCGTCCTCCTGCTTCATCCTCCCAGCTGGGACACGGGTGTGTGCCACCATGCCCAGCTCTTACAGGCAGGTCTCGCTATGCTGCCTCAGGTTCACGATCCTGCTGCCCCAGCCTTCCGAGCTGCTGGGATGACAGTGCATGCCAGCACATCCCTCCTTTAGGTTGGACCGTTAGTCAAACCCGGGCCTCCCATGTGGTCCCGGCCACGGAGTACAGCGTCTTAGACGTGTGCATCACCACGGCTGGGCCAGGCTGCCTCGTGTTTTTCACCCAGGCCAGGGAAAAGGGAGCTGGGTGGGCACACGTGGAAGTCCTACTTGGGGGGGGGGCAGAATTTCTCCTCCTTGGGGGGGGTGTCCTTCCCCTCTTTTCTCCCATCTGAGGCCTAGGTGTCCTAGGTGCACGTGGCTCACCCCCTGAGAACTCCTGGCAGGTGGAGAGCATTGCACATTCTCCCCAGGGTGAGGTGCCCCCATGACCCCCTGGTACCTCATGCTGGGAGAACAGAGCCCAAAGAGCAGCTGCCCACGCGGGGCTTGACTATTAGCTGCCTTGCAGCCAGCCCTAATCCCAGTGTCGCTGTCCTGTCAGTCCCTGGAGGGCTCCTGAGCCTTCTTCTGCTCTAGCTGGGGGAGGGAAGACAGGACAGAGGGGAAGGAGAGAGAGGATGGCGATGGAATTGTCAGGGCTTGGCGGGAGAGGACCCCAGCAGTACAGATGTTTGCGCTTCTTTTAGTCATGGCCCAAACTCCAGCCCTCTTGTTGGGTAGTAAGCAGGAGTTAGATTATGCTCTGCTACCTTACGCTCTAGTGCAATGGGAAAAGCGTAACTGAATAGGCAATGACCACGTCCACTCTGCCCGTGGTGTGTGTGCACCTGGTGGTCTCTGTGTGGGTGCTGGACCACCCTCCCCCAGCCCTGGTGATTTTTTGAGGTCCTTTGAAGGAAGAAAGCAGCTGCTCCCATGCATATTCAGCAGTAGAAGTGACCGCCAGTGTCAAGGCCTCTTCCTCCACGCCCTCACTAGGTGATGACACTGTGCTGTCCTTTTGGCCTCGCTTCCACCTTCGAATCATAATTCTGTTATCCTTGTCATAAATTTCCTCTGCCTGTCACTGGTGTGGAAGTCGGGGAGGCTGAGGGACAGGACGAGGACTTCGGGCTGGAGCAGGGCCGCAGCAGCCACTGAAGGGCCATTAGCCTGCTGAGGGCACTGACCACGGTGGTGGGGACAAGCCTGGGCTCCCGGGGTGGGGCAGTCTCAGCTCTGCCCACCTGCCTGGTAGAGAAGTGCCTTCACTTCTCTGGGCCTCAGTTTCCCTATCTGTCAATAGTGTCAACAGCTGGGACCGGCAGTTGGCATAATGGCTATGTCGCTGGACTCCCATGTAGTCGACTGCAGTTCGAGTCCCGGACCCGGTGGCTTAAAACTCACACCGGGCGCGTGTGCGTGCGTGCGTGCGTGCCCAAGATCCCGAGAGGAGAATGGAGGAGAAGGGATTGTGGCATGACCATCCCCCCGGGGGGTGATTTCTCGCTTTCTGTCTCTATGTCTCTCTCTGTCTGTCTGGCGAGCGCACGCGCCCTACAGTGAAAATCTCTCCAAAAAACAAACAAACAAACAAAAAAAAAAACAAAACCTAACGACAACAGAAAACCACGTACACGTTTGAGGAAAGCTACTGACTGGACACAAGGGGCTTCTGGGTGTGAGCAATGCTCTGCTTTGTGATCTGGGCACAGGGCCCAGGGTATGTTCAATTTATGGAAATTCATTAAGCTGGCCTCTCTCTCCCTCTCTTCTAAAAATTGTATTTATTTACTTATTTAATTTGTTATTATAATTTTTTTAATTTGATGAGCAAAGGAAAGAGACAGTAAGAGAGCGAGCCGCCAGGTCCGAGACTCAAACCGTCGTGGGCCATATGGGAGTCTAGCACCTTAACGGCCATCCACCTGCCAGCCCCAGCTGTTTTCCTAAGGTGGGTGTACTATTCTGCAAGTGTGTTATATAGCAATACAAAGTTAAAAAAAAAAAAGCATTCATGCTCACTGGCCATATACCTTTTCAAAGGATATACAAGCCAAAAAAAATAGTCCCATTAGAATGGTTATTTATGGGCAAGGGAGTGGCCGTGGGGACTTAACTGTGGGGAGGTCCAAAGTCCTCGTGGCCTGGTGGACAGCTCTCCCAAGGCCTGGCCGCCACTGCTTCCCTCCGCTCCCTTCAGCCACGCCCGCCCCCACCCGGGCCCCGGCGGGCACCTTGCAGCAGTTCCAGCAGTCCTGCATGTTGATCCAGTAGTTCTTGTGGTTCCAGAGGCTCTCGATGCCCAGGAAGTGGTCGTCCTGGGTGCTGTAGCTGCGAGCCGTGAACGGGTCTATGAAGAAGCTCTCCGGTACTTCGCGTTTCCCCGACAGCACCAGGACCCAGGAGTGCACCCGCAGGCCGTGCAAGGAGTCGGGCTTTGCCTTCTCTGCCTCCTGCACAAGGAAGGTGGTGACCACTGGTCAGACGGGTGGGGAGGGGGCCGGGAGGGGCCCAGATGTCTCCCCAGGGCTGGGGAACCTGCAGCAGGCTGCATTCTAATCCAGACTGCACCGTAGTCTGATGTGCGAGCTCCCGAACTGCCTTCCCTTAGCCCAACTCTGAGCCCTCTTTTAGGAACAGTGAAATGGGAGGGTCTGACTCTGCGCGTTATAAACTGGACTTTTCGTGGCTCTAGATATCTGGGATTGACTGGCTTTACGTGTGACTCTGAGTGAGATTTCAGGCAAAGAAAGGTAATTCTCTCCTTTGGTAAATCCAAAGAAAGAAACCAAGCGGCTTCCTTATCCCCTCCCTCTGGGAGAACTGTGACTGTCCCATGTTGTCGCCTCCCCAAGGTCTGAACTAGAGGAGAATCTGGGTAAATCTACTCTACGGAAGGAAAGGAGAGGGGAAGGAGGAAAAGGCTGGAAGGAGGATGAGAGAATAGATGGGTGGAGGATGACTAGGAGGATGGATGTCAGAAGGGGAGATGGGAGGGTGTGGACAGGAGGTGGATGAGGGGAAATGGAAGGAAAGATGGGATGATGGATAGAAGGAGAGATGGGCGGATGAATGGGAGGGTGGATGGAGGGTGGGCGGAAGGAGAGATGGAGGGTGGGTGGAGGAGAGATGGAGGGTGGGTGGAAGGAGAGATGGAGGGTGGGTGGAGGAGAGATGGAGGACACTTCTAACTAGGGACAGGAGGGATGGAGGGAAGACAGTTTGGAGGGAAGCAGAGATTGTCCCATCCTTCTGATAGGGTTTTATCACTTTTTTTTCTTTCTGTCCCTTTTGGATAAACCGATTCAGAGAATGACTTGGATCTCTCCCACTTTCTTCTTCTTCTCATCCTCTGGGTACCCTCTCTATCCACCTGCAAAGCTTGAGGAGAGGGCGGATATGAGGTCAACTTGGGATCCCTAGACATTTCAGGTTCCCTAATCCAACCTCAAAGCTGATACATGAGGACTCAAGCAAAGCTTTTCAAAGGGAGGGTGGGTGGAGGAGAGATGGAGGGTGGGTAGAAGGAGAGATGGAGGGTGGGTGGAGGAGAGATGGAGGGTGGGTGGAGGAGAGATGGAGGGTGGGTAGAAGGAGAGAAGGAGGGTGGGTGGAGGAGACATGGGAGGGAGGATGGAAGGAGAGACGGGCAGATGGATGGAAGGAGAGATGGAGGGTGCGTGGAAGGAGAGATGGAGGGAAGGCAGGAGAGGGTGTAGGCGTGTCTGCAGAGAAGGAGTCTGGAACGAGCTGCTAGCGGTCGAGCTCTCTGACATCAGGACTCTGTCAGCAAGAGCTGGCTGATTCTGGTGGGAGGTTCCTACATGGCTGGGCAGAGTGGGGTGGTCAGGGGTGGACCTGCAGGTCCGTAAACACATCCCTGCTGAGACTCGTGCCTCTTCCCCATCCCAAGCATACCCTCCTCGATTGTTGAGTCCTGTGGGAGGCAGTGCGGGGGCTGGGGGCGGAGGACCCACCATGAGGCGCTCCTCTTCCTCCTGTAGCCGCTTCTCCTCCTGGGCTCTGATCTCCATCTGCCGTTTTTTCTCCTGCTCCTGCTCAAACTTGCTGCTCAGGTCTCGGGGAGGCTTTATGGCGTACTTCTTAGGGGGTGGCTTTTCCTCCTTCTTGGAAGTCTGTCACCCAAAAAGAGAAAAAAGTTCTGCAACCCCAAGCCACCGCCTTCACACCCTTGGAGAGGTGCAGCCCTGCCCAGCTGGCCCTGGACTAAGGCGTCATGGGGGTCCCTGAGCCCATGGCTTTGCCCTTCTCCAGCCCTGTGACCATGGGAGGCCCTTTCACGTCTCTGGATCCCAGGCTCATCTGCACAATGGGATGAGAATAGAGGAACCTTCTCCCCGAGTTTGTTCTGAGAAGGGAAGACAGGACAATGCCTGCTCCAGGTTTCAATGGGGCAGGGCCTCGGGGGGGGCGATTTTCTCCTCTTCATTCCTCACTGCCCATCAGAGCTAAGATCTGGATCTGCTCCAGAGAAAGAAACCAAGTGGCTTCCTTATCGCCTCCCTCTAAGAACTGTGACTGAGTCATGGTCCTTATCGTGCTGGGCGAATATGCAGGAGTTGGGTCTTCAGATCTTGTCACCGGATGGCTTCCTATGTTGACGTGAGTTGAGTTTGCTGGACCAAGAAGCAGCAGCAGGCCTGTGTGTGTGCGCCTGTGTGTGCATATGTGCATGTACACACGCGTGCTAGACAGTGAGACCTGTTCCCAGGAGAGAACACTGCAGAGGCGAAGCAGGCCGTGACAGTTATGAGGGCTTCGGGTCAGACAGACCCGAGGTCCCGTCCCCGGGTCTCCGATGGCCAGCCTGTGACTTCGCTATGCCACAGCACCCTCCTATTCCATCGCGGCAGGCTTGTCCGTGAGATGAGTGAGGACACCCACCACATGGGGCCACTGTGAGGAGCCGCCGGGTCAAAGGACATTAGAGTGGTTTATAAACCGGAATGTTCTCTGCATCCATTAATTACCGATATCATTTTAATTATTACAATTTTGGTGAAGGGCCAGCAGGCGGCATGGTGGTTAAGGTGTTGGACTCCCACTTGGCTGACCATGGTTTGAGTCCTGGACCTGGCGGCTTGCTTTCTCACTTTCCCTCTCTCTCTCTCTGGTGAGTGTATGTGTCCTATCGAAAATTTAAAATAATAATAATAAATAAAATAAAATAAATAATTCTTTACAAAATTTTTGGTGGCACTAATAGGCCCTCGTCTGAGCTCAGTGGCCTTTTAGGTCAGAAGGCATGATGGAGAGTTTTCTCCATGTTCTCTTGGGGAGGTGGGCCTGAGAGAGCAAGGCTCTCCTGGTGCCTCTTCTTCTTTCCCACCTTCCTATACTGGGCGCCCTCCCGGGGATCCCCAGGGGCTCGCTCAGCTCTAACACGGGTTCACATGCACGCTCCTGGCTGCCTCAGCCTCTGGTCCCCAGCCCTGAGCTGCAGACACCCACAGGGGCGGGGTCCTGAGCACAGAATCCCGGAATCAAGCCAGCACATGAAAAGCATTTTCTGTCTGCTGTATGACCGTTTTCCAAAGGTAAAGAGGTGCTTTTGTGATTCTGACAATGAAATCTCACTTCAGAGCGTTTCTTGGGTTTGCGGCACCCTGTGGTCAGCACAGAGCTCTCAGTCAACAGTTATAAAGATGTAGCTTCCACCCCCAGGGGAGGCGGGGAGGTGGTCATTTTTTTTTTTTTTCTATCAAAAAGGAGCCTTTGATTAGCGTTTGAGTCCTTCCCTTGGCAGCTTGAAAACTATGTCAGGTGTGTGCCCGTGTGCACTGGACCACGTACAGGGTGCTTTCTCTCATTCTCGTGCATGTAGGTGTCCTCTGGCATTGAAGACGGGGTGTCTTTTGGACCAAGGTGGTGGTGCGGTGTAACAGAACTGGGTTCTCATGGGAAAGGTCCTAGGTGTGTGTCCTGGGGCCTCCCTGTACACCCAGGGTTTGTGGGCCCCCATGTGCCAGTGATCCGGGCTGGCTGAGATGGGAGGGATCCCGCTGTGAAGATCCAGTCAGGGTGCCTCTCTCTCTCTCTCAGAGAAAATCAATGACTAGAAAGGGACACTGGGCCGGCAGGTGGCATGGTAGTTAAGGTACTGGACCCCACGTGGCCAACCGTGATGTTCCAGTTCCAGACCACCAGCCTGAAAAGCACAACAGGCATGTGTGCATACATGTCCAAAAACGAGAGGAGAGTTTTTGGAGAAGGGCTTGTTGTATGGCCATCTTTCCTAGGGGGTGATTCCTCACTATCTCCCCCTCTCTCTGTCTCTGTCCAATGAGCGCTTGTACCCTAAAGTGAAAAACAAGCAAACAAACAGGGACCAGCAGTTGGTGTAATGGCTATGTCACTGGACTCCCACGTAGTCGATCGCGGTTCGCGTCCCGGACCCAGTGGCTTAAAACTCACGCCGGGTGCGTGTGCGTGTGTGCCCAAGATCCCGAGAGGAGAATGGAGGAGAAGGGATTGCGGTGTGGCCATCCCCCCTGGGGGGTGATTTCTCACTTTATCTCTCTTGTCTCTCTCTGGCTGGCTGGCGAGCGCACACGCCCTATAGCAAAAAACAAAAACAAAAACAAAAACAAAACAGAAAAATGGGAGGAGCCTCCTAGCCCGGGGAAGGAGGAGGACTGAGAAGCAGAGGACTGTTCATTTGTCGTTGTTTCCCTCTATGGACGGCAGGGAGGGTTTTTACAAGTGTGTAGGAGCAGCCTGGCCTGGCTGAAGGTAAAAGCCGTGCAGCATTTGTGGGCCTGCCGAGTGGGGAGCCAGGCAGCCGAAACGGAGTTACAACAAGCGGGGGGCACAGCCCGCTCGGAGAACTGGGCTGTGCGTGTTAAGGCGTCGAGGACAGAAGTCAGCGGTGACTCAAACTCTGAACCCCAGGGGCAGCCGAGGTTCTGCTTGGTCATGCAGCTGCTCCGCTGTGGCCGGGACAGGGACGGGGTGTATGGTGGGAAGTGGCGGGGACATACTTTATGGCGGACGGTGCTGGGAACACACATCCTTTGCGATGCCACCGTCGGCTGGCGCCGGTCTGGCCATACCTCCTTGGGCTTCACGGTGAGCGGGCACACCTCCCGCGTCAGGTCCATGAGGCACAGGTCCTGCGAGCCGTAGCCGTTGACGCAGTAGGCGTCGTAGCCGGAGCCAATGAGCAGGGAGCACAGCAGCGTGCTGAAGTCGAAGCAGTTCCCCAGCTGGTACTTGAGCACCGTGGTGGAGGAGTACAGGTACGCGGGCTGGCCCCGGCCGGCTGGTCAGCCCCCTCGGGTCCTGCTGCCCAGCCTGACCCCTCACCAGGCACTGCCCACAGTCAGGGTTGGGGCCAGGGCCCATGCACAGGCTGGGCCCCCTTGTCAGGTGAGGGAGCCTGCCGAGAACACCGTGAAGACCAGACCCAGTGTGGTCCACGTTTGCCTGCCATTGGAAGGGGCTCGTGGACATCCTGGGACGGAAGGGCATCTGGGCTGTCAGAGCTCTGGCCTAACGCCCTCTGACTGGCGGTCTTGGCTGTGTTACTCCAACATCCCTGTCCTATTCTCCAGCCTTTCCTATTCTTCCTTCAGTTCCCGTTTACCGATCCTTTCCTTCCTCCTTGTTCTCTGTGAGCTGGCTTCTCATTGGGTCAGAAGCCCCAGAATGTGCAGCTGGGCCCTCCCCTCTCTTTTCTTTCCACGCCTCCTGAAGTCACGAGAGGGAGACACTGAAGACAGAAAACGTCAAGGGAGGCAAAGAGGTGGGAGCGGGGCACCAGACTTGCTGTGTGCCTTCAAGCAAGTGGCTGTCTCTCTCTGGGTCTGCTTTCCCCTAGGAGGGTCTCTGTGGGGCTGTGGCCTGAGCCTGGCTGAGCCGCCTTCTCCCAGACCCTGCCTGGCTCCCCATCACGGGCCTAGGGGCCGAAGGATGTGGCACTTACCGGCTTCAGGGGGTCGGGCAGGGGTACCATGGTGAGGAAGTCGGAGACGAACTGGGCGCAGCTGTCCCAGTTGTAGAGTTCGGGATAGGGCGTCAGCGTGGGCCGGATGGTCGTGCTCACGAACTTCTGCAGGGGGAGAGAGCGTGCCAGCAGGGGGGTATCCTGTGGGGACCTGTGAGATCCTGAATCCTCAGGGAGACCTGGAGTCTGAGGCCAAACAGGAGGCCAGGCCCTTGGGCACCGGGGCATCCCCTTGCTGGAAGGTGATGCCTAGGTCTGATGCCTGGCAGTGAAAACGGAGCAGTGACGACTGGGAGGCCCCCGTCACATCACAGGCATCCGGGGTTACCACACGTTTCTGGATCTGGCTGAGAGGCCTGAGGGATCCCTTCCTCCAACCCTGAGGGCACCACGGGGAGCCCAAAGTCCAGAGGAGCCTAGAGACTCGGCAAGTCAGGGCTGAATGAGGCGGTCCTGTCTCTTGTCTCCTGGCTTCTCGGGAGCCTTGTGGTCTCCTCCAAGTGCGATGCCCTCCCCGGGGCCTACAGAGGCTCTGGCCCAGGGCAGCTGCTGGCCAGTATCATCGCTAGCTCTATCCAGGGAAGAGGAGAAAGGTAAGACCCAGGCTCCAGGGACCCAAGCAGTGGCATCTTCCTTCAAGCTCTGGCCCCCAGGGCACACCCCTAAGTCTCTGGGCCTCAGTCTGCCATCGGTAGATGGACTAGCATGAGCTTAATCCACAGGCTGGGAAACGGCAGCCCCAGGGCTGCATGGACCTGCTTTGTTTGGTTCATGTGGTGATTTTTAGTATCTGTGTTAGCCGCCAGCATTTAAAAATCAGAGATCCCAGGAGCCGGCTGGAGGCTAAGATGGCTAGACCCCAGATGGCCAACTCTGCAGTTCAAGTCCCAGACCTGGTGGCTTGAAAAATACACTGCGTGTGTGCATGCATGTGCGTGTTCCCATAATCTTGAGAGGATGATGGAGAAGAGATAGCGGTGTGGCCAGTCCCTGGAGGTGCTTTCTCTCTCTCTTTCTCTCTCTCTCTCACAAGCACATGTGTCCTGTAGCAAATTAAAAAAAAAAAAAAGTCAGAGATTCCAGACAGATCCTGATGGTTGATCTGGAGACCCCAGGCCTGCATCTCCCCTGAAGTGATCAGGCTGCCTGATCAGGACCTCTCTGTCCTCTGCTCTCTGGCCCTCCGGCCCTGCCATCCACCTCCCGGCCTTACGGGCACTTCACACTCGTTCAGCGGGTGCAAGAAGAGGGGCACGCGGTCCGGACACAGGTGGCTGTACTGGCGGGAGAAGTTGTCCGCCACCTGCAGCAGGTGCTCCTCCTTAGGGCTGTTGGTTTTGTAGGAAACAGGCAGCTGGGAGGTGTCGATGGTTTCCTTGGTGAAGAGTCTGCACCACAACAGGAATGGCATCGGCCCAAGGGCCTGGCACACGCCGAGCCCTCAAGGTGGAGGGTAGGCTGCCATTGACTCTACCCCTTCCTCATCTAATCCTCACGGCTCACTAGGAGGCAGGTGGCATCATCAGCACCTATACTTTTAAATGGATAAGGGGATGGAGGCACAGAGAGGTTGAGTGACTTGCCCAAGGTCACACAGCTAGTGAGGGCCGGAGTGGGGATTTGCACCAAGTAGTCTAAAAGCAGAACCGCCCCCACCCTTTGCCACCTCCTTCTATGTCCCGGTCTCTCCTCCCAGCCCAGATGCCACCATTCTGCCTGGCTCTCCCTCACGAGGGCTGCTGAGTCCAAAGCTACCACTTTGACACACTCACGGGGACTCCGTGGGGACAAGGGTCTCAGTTTCCGACAGCTTCTTATCCAGGTCCCTGAGCATCTCCGGGGTCAGGATGGTATCCTCCTTTGGAGCCTCTGCCGGCTTCGCGGTTTTCACAGCTGTTTCCACCTGTTCGGCCTTCTCGGCTTCCTCCTTATGCTTGGCCACTTCCTCCTCCCCCTCCTCCTCCAGTGTCTCCCTCAGGACCTCCATTGTGGCGTGTCTCTGGCTGCCTGGAGATGGGGAGACTCTGTGGGAAAGGATGGATGTACACAGAATGCCTGACTGCCAGAGACCGCTATTGGAGGGATGGAAACTATGGAAGCACTACAGAAAACGGCATGGAAGCCCCTCAAAGAACCAACTAGACCCCTTTGTGATCCATGCTCGCATGACGGGGTATATGCCCAAGGCGAAAGGAATCAGTTTGGCGTGTTATTGCAGCCTCATTCACAGTAACCAACATACGGAATCAATGTAAGTGTCCACCGGCCGACAAACAGATAAAGAAATATGGCGTATATACACAGTGGAATAGTATTCAGCCCTAAAAAGGATGAGAGCCGGTCATTTGAGGCAATGCCAAAGCACCCGGAGGAGATCATGCTCCGTGAGATAAGGCAGGTACCGCAAGGCAAATTCTCCACATGCTCATTCATTCGTGGAAGCGAAAAGACTCCATCGAGAGGAGGGGAGAGTGTCATGGTGGGCACCAGAAGCTTGTAAAGGGAGGGAGATGGGGAAATGTGGAGACTGTGGTTAACAGGACGGTGTGTGTAGCTAAGCAAAATGAGGCCGAGTACTATAGCAGGATTCCAGGTAGACCTCCAGACAGCGCGCAATGGGCCTCGAGTGCGCACGACACACAGCAACAACGGATGTTGGAGGCGGCCAATGCGAAGAGCGCTCTGCCTTGGCCATTACTCCGTGTGTACCTGTTCTGAAAGCCACCCTGTACCCTGAAGGGCAACGCTTACATGCAAGAGAGAAGTTACCACGCATGCTCCTGGTGTATTTCTCAAGCTGCTGGTCTAGGACTCAAATCCTGCTCTTGGCCATGCGCAGTCTGGCTGCCTTAACCTCTGGCCATGGAACCAGCCCTATGACAGCTTCTCACACTTGTTAATATCGCTTTAAAACACAGACAAAGTGGGCCTCAGAGGGGAGCCACTCTCAGACCCGGGGCAGGGCTCCAAGCATACTACCATTGCTTTGTTTTTATTGAGTCCTGGGACAGTCATGACACACTTTTGCATAGAAAAGAAGTGAGGACTTTCCTGACAGCCTAATAGTACGTTTATTTGACAGCTTTGACAGTGATCTGCTCATTACGGCAAGAGCTTCTAATGCCACAGAAATGCGCATTGTCTTACTTAGATATATTTATTAAAGAATTTAAAGAAAATTATTCTGAGTAGTAAGGTGACCCTGATATGCCCATGAAGAAATGAAGGTGGCAGGTGAAGGATAACTCGACAAACTGGAACTTGGGCAAAGCGGGAGGTCAGGGTGACCGACGCAAGGTCGTGAGAGCCAGAGCTGCCTGCTGCCGATGGCGGAGCAGAGAAAGGGGGAGCCAGGTTCCCTGGGGGTGCTGTGGAGGCCTGGGGTGCAGCAGGTGAGGAGACAGCCTCTCTTCGGGTCCCAGTTATAAACCACCCAACGCCATCTCCGCTGATCCATCAGTCCCTGCCTCCCATCTCCCAGCTCAGGTTTTTCCATTATCCTACCGCAAATATCTATGGGTTTTTTTGTTTGTTTGTTTTGAAGGTTTTCATCATAGGGCGTGCGCACTTGCTGGGGAGAGAGGCAGAGTGAGCAATCACCCCCCCAGGGGATAGCCACACTGCAATCCCTTCTCCTCCAATCTCCTGAGATATTGGGCTCGCATGTGCACTCACTGAAATAATTTTCAAGTCACCAGGTCTGGGACTCGAACCATGGTCAGCCATGTGGGAGTCCAACGATGCAACCTCTACACCATCTGCTGGCCCTAATACCTATGTTCTTTATAGCAAAGGTTCAAAAAAGAGAGAAGAAAACTGACCCAACACACAGGATGTGCTGGGGGAATAGCGAATGGAGATAGGGTGGATAACAGAGTCCCCCAGCCTTGTCATCACCCCCAGGGAGAAGCCACAAAGGCAAAGGGACTAGGAGGTAAGGGCTGGGCCCACACCCTGCCCAGGCCACCTGAGCCTCTCTGCCAACGGTTCGTGCCTGACTCATGGGCCACTCCCCCCACACCTTTCTTTTCTTTCTTTAATTCTTCAGTTATTTTTCTATGTTTAAAGTTTATTTTCTTTCATGAGAGAGAGAGGACGCAATAGATAGGCAGCCCCCAAAGAGTCTCCCTGCCATAATCTACCCCCAGCTTCAGCCAGTTCAGGTCATGGGCATGCATGCATACCAGGCATGCTCCAGGAGGCACCAGGACACAAACCCAGGCCCCTCCCCTCATGGGTACAGTTGCTCCACCACTACGCCATTGCCTGGCCCCTCTACCCCTTTCTGGACCTCAGTTTCCCCTTCCCCAAAAGGAAGGGAGGCACAGATATTTCCCGTCCAATTCTGGCACGCCGAGCTCCAGGATTCAGGAGGGGCTGAATGCTCCTGTTGCCCATGGCCCAGGTGAGCCAATGCCGTTCAGGACCCCAGTTCCCTGGGGGACAACCTCCAGCCGAGCAGCGTAGCCCATTGTCAGGGCCCTGTGCCTGCCTCTTGGGCCCAGAGGTCGAGCCAGGGAGGGCAGTAACAAGCACTACAGGCGCGACATTGCTGGACACCGCTGGGCTAAGAGGCCTACGGACATCGCCTCACATACCCACCGATGATTGGGCAGACGGGATCCTGATCCCCACCTTGCAGAAGAGATTGAGGCTTAGAGAGGTTACCCACAAGGCCCCAGCTAGTCAATGGAGGTGTGGTGCTGAAACCCAGGTGTTTCAGGGCCTACTGAGACGGGGAAGTCCTAGAAGGAATAGTGGGGTTCAGGCAGTAGGGCGCAAGGAACAAACGAGAACAGGGAGCGGGCGAGCATGTCAGTGGACAGCAGGAGCGACACCAGGGGCAGGCCCTTGGCCAGGGTCACCGAACACCTTCATTGGAGGCGGAGCGGGGCTGAGCCTGCAGCACTTTATTCCCTCCACAGCCTGCCTCTTCAGCTGAGCCCAGTCCAGGGGCCAGTCCTGCCCCAGCGTCCTCTGGACCTTGCCCCGACCCACAGGGGCCAGTCCTGCCCCAGCGTCCTCTGGACCTTGCCCCGACCCACAGGCCTTTCTTTGCAGTCTCCTCCCCAGCAGCAACCTCCTTCCTCCCACCACACACACACACACACACACACACACACACACACACACACACACAGAAAGATAAGGTTGCAGGCACCTCCAGGCAGAAGGCCCTGTACCCCACCATTCTTCTCCTCCTACCAGACAGGGTCCAGCCATTCCCAGTCCCAGGACCCGCTCCTCACCCCTCTGAAGACAGCCTGTACTAATCTGTTAGCCCGTCTCCATGGTAACAGCTCTATGGAAGCTAAGGGCAGGTCACGGGAGAGGAGGCTTGTGGGAAGTGTAGTCCTCTCTGACTGCCCAGGGCCCTCTGCTAGTGGTGTGTTGTATAGTGGTATACCCGCTTGAGAAAATGGTTACGTTGTTATGAATATTTAAAAAACGTTTATTCATTTCTTGAGAGAGAGAGAGAGAGACCCCCGATAGGTCCCGCCATATTGTGATCCTCCCCTAGTGCACCAGGCAGCCAGGATTACAGGTGTGCCCACGGAAGGGTCTACAGTGTTCACGTCCCCGTGGGATCAAAGCCCTAGGCCTTCCCTTTTGGCTCCAGCACCGTGCAGTGGCACCCCACCATCTTTACCACCACAACTGGGCCAAAGTCTTAGGAATTTGAGGGAGCCAGTTGTCAAACACAGCCACTATTAAAAACAAAATCGGGGCCAGCAGATAGCATAGTGGTTAAGGTGCTGGCTGACTGTGGTTCAAGTCCCAGACCTGGCAGCTTGCTTTCTCACTTTCCCTCTCCCTCTCTGTCTCACTCCAATGACTATAGCAAATTAAAAAATAATAATAATAATGATTCTAATAATAATAATAAATAATTCTTTAAAAATGAAATCATAAAAGCTTACAAGTAACTAACTCTATTACTAATTCTAAAGTGATAAATACTCGAATCATTTCACCATATATGACTGTTTTATATATACTCCTGGGGTTATTTGTGCTTATTGTATCTGCACAGTGGCATTATTTGCATCTCTTCCCAATTTCTATTTTATATTGTCAGAGTGATTGCTTAAAATCTGCCATTGGGTTCTTTACACCACAGAAATTGGCAAATGCTACAAACCAGGCTTTTTAGCTCAGCTAGCCAGTTAGACATTAGCTTCCTCTCCCTCACTGTGCCATGAATGTGACCTCCCCCAAGGCAGATGGAAACCACTGTGGGTCCTAGGGCAGCTGCCCGCCGTGGTGCACGGCTACTGAGTCCTGGGTTCTAGTCCAGCTGGGCCTCTGATCTAGCAGATAACCTTGCAGGACGGGGAAAATGACCTTGTCCAATATTTCCCAGCTTAACAGGGATGTAATGAGGTTTTATTTTCATTTTAATGTACATCTCTCTGATTACCACTGATTTTAGATGTGTCTTCACGTTAGCTTTACGTGTTTCCTCTTCTGAATCTGTTTAAAACCTCAGCCCTCTATTAGAAAAATGTCCTTGGTTTGATTTGTTGCAAATATTTTCTCCCATTCTGTCACGTGCCTGCTAACACTGTGGTGTCCTTCATTAAATGGAAAGCCTGAATTTTAATGTAGTTAAATTTATGTCTCGAGTCTGCTGTTTTGTGCTTTTGAATTTTTGCACGAGAAGTTTTTCCTTGGCCTTACATCACAAAAATGCTTTTGTACGTTAATTTCCTAGTTTTGCTTTCTCATTTATACATGTAATCCTCCAGAGGCCACATCTGCAAGAAGGATTAGAGGGAGCTCTTGTTCCCTTCTCTTCCATTCTCCTCTCGGGATCTTGGGCACACACGCACACGCAGCCGGTGTGAGTTTAAACCATCAGGTCTGGGACTTGAACCACAATCAGCTACATGGGAGTCCAGCGACATAGCCCTTATGCCAACTGCTGGCTCCTGTGTAAAGAGCCAATTTTCTAACACCATCACAGATCACCTGTTCTTTCTCACTGGTGCCACCCTCGTCCTGTGTCAAGTCCCCTTGGTGTGCAGGTCCCACCACTGAGCATTCTGTTTTGTTCCACTGATCTTCTTATCCATGCATGGATTCCAGACTGGGTTTACCACTCTGGCCTTGTAATAGCATTAAAAAAAAAAAAAAAGAAGACGATTTTGCTATAGGGCACACGTACTCACTGGAGAGAGACAGAGACAGAGACTAAGAGAGGGGAAAAGTGAGATATCACCCCCCCCACCTCCAGGAGGGAAGGGGCCCATGCTGTAATCCCTTCTTCTCCATTCTCCTTTCGGGATTTTGGGCACACATGCACATGCGTCCACTGTGATTTTCAAGCCACTGGGTCCAGGACTTGAACTGTGCTGTCGGCCATTTGGGATCCAGTCACCTTAACCTCCCCACCAACTGCTGGCATGTAATAGCATTTTAAAAAATTATTATTTATTTTATTTATTTATTTAGATTTGACCAGAGAGGGATAAAGAGAGAGAGAGAAAGTGAGAAATCAAGTTGCCAAGTCTGGGACTCAAACCATGGTGGGCCATGTGGGAGTCCA